TTAGGAGCCATTAATAGGTTTTTGGATTACCACCATAAAAGAGAGAGAGAGGTTAGAGAATATTTGTGGCAATTTTCTCTTTCAAGTTTCTTTTATAACAGTGAATTACAATAGCGACGAAAGATGAGATAATTCACGTTGAGGCAAACATCTATAAAGCTTGTGTTTTTATTTCTTTTAGCTAATTGATTGCTCTCAAAAGAATAGAATTAGGATTTCTAATTCTCAACGACATAATTGTGCAATATATATGTGGATAATAGTCGCAAACATTTTTTTTTCTCGGTTCACTTTCCCACGTACCGCAAGAAATGCACTTTTTATGTACTAGATTTGAAGCATTGTATATCTCCCAATGGAGAAAAATATATCTAAAATCTTGTGGTGTAACATTTAACCCTAATAAGATCTAATGTATTCTAAGAAATCTACGTATTGCATATGCTATCAAAATAACTTTTGATTGAGGTAGGACATTCTTGTCGTCTTTGTCTCCTGGTAAAGAAATGGATTGTTTTATCTTCAAGATATAATTTCTCATAGAGAAGTGAGTTATGTTGTGAAGAAATAATTTTAGTTGTATCGATAATTAAGAAGTACACGTAAAAACTCTCTGCAACCAAATAGACTTAACAGAGATAACGTTATATTTTCCAACATTTGTGATTGGGTTATCATTTAATTAAGCAAAAGTTATTTACCTTTACCGGAAATAATCCCTTATGCTAGAATTCCTTTTATATATGCTCTATGTTAAAGACGTTAATCATTTCCCTCTTTTCATTATTGTACAATAACATATTCATATACACATCTCCGTATGATTAACTATTGAATATTCTATAATGTTCAAAGATCATCTTTAAAACGTTTTTAGTCGAATTTTGAACAAAAACGTGACAATTCACATCATAAGGCTTCTCCAAATTAGATTTATTATTATTTTTTTTTTTAAACAAACGAATACCTTACTTGCCTACTGATATTGAACCAAAAGAAAATATTAATTTCTCATATCTCATATCATCACAAGTTGACAAAGAGAACACTAATTCTTTTAGCTCGTTATAGAGAAATATGAACTAACGCGTGATTAATTAAAAAAAGTAATTAATTAGATTGTTGAGACAATGCTTAACAATTGGTTCATCTTAATTTGTTGGTAGTCCAATGATTTTACTTGGCTGCTGGCCCGATTCTCTGATTCATTTTACTATCTCGTGTTTTAGAAGTATGACTTTAGTGCCATATTTTGAAGCTGCTGAGATGATGACAAGTGGTGCTATGATGATGTTTACGGAAGAGTTTCATTCGATTTCTTTTTCTTCTTGTTGTATATAGAGATTGAGGGGATTATGATTTTCTGCTATTTTTTACTTTGAAAGGGTTCGTGAGAGAAATTGACTCTTTGGGGCTTTTCTTGGTCGATACATGGTGTATGATTCGTAATCTTGAACATTATTTGATTTTTCTAGTGGATTTAGAGTGTTAATTACTCATGTTAAAGTTCAATGTGGTGAATAGGCCATTTGACTTGTTGACGAAGAAAATGGATAATTCTGCTGTATGTTTCATTCATTCTTGAAGTTAATAAATAGGTACAATGAGGTTGCTATACAAAGAAAATTGGTTAAGATCTATGCTAACATTGTGCAATTTTTCTATAAAGGTTTACAAGGAAAATTGACAAACATCCATGCTGATTTTGTGCAAGACTATGATCCATGCTGATTTTGTGTAATATACTGATTTTGTGCACATTGCAATCCCTGTTGATTTGCAATTGGGTGGAAATGTCAATACTCCCCCTCAAGTTGGCGCATGAAGATCTGTGATACCCAACTTGCGATAGAAGCGATGAAACAAATCATGTCCCAATGCTTTGGTAAAGATATCTGTAATCTGATCAGTTGTGGAGACATGAGATAGAATGAGGAAACCAGAGCGAAGCTTGTCACGAACGATGTGACAATCAATCTCTATGTGTTTGGTTCGCTCGTGAAATACTGGATTTCGAGCAATATGTAGTGCTGATTGATTGTCACAGAAAAGATCAATAGCAAGCAAGTGGGATATACCGAGATTAGCAAGTAAGGTTTTGAGCCAGATAAGCTCACATGTGGTTACGGCCATGGCTCGGTATTCGGCCGCAGCTGAGGAGTGAGCTACTGTTGTCTGTTTCTTGGTGCGCCAAGAAATAGGATTGGTCCCGAGTTGGATGAAGTAGCCAGTAGTAGAACGACGAGTGGTTGGGCAGCTGGCCCAGTCTGAATCTGTGTAGGTAGTGAGTTGAAGACCACTGGAGGCTGCAAAGAAAATGCCATGACCTGAAGTGCCCTTGAGATAGCGAAGAACCTGATGAGCAGCAATCAAATGAGGAGCTCGAGGTGCATGCATGAACTGACTGAGTATGTTGACTGCGAAGGCAATGTCAGGTCGGGTGATGGTGAGGTAAATGAGACGGCCAACAAGTCGACGATAGGGGCTCGGGTCCGACAGAAGATCACCATCACTGGCGGTGAGCTTCAGATTCTGTTCCATGGGAAAGGAGGCGGGGCGAGCACCTAGCTGGCCACTATCAGATAGAATATCAAGAGTATACTTTCGTTGGTTGATGAAGATCCTAGTAGAAGAACGGGCCACTTCAAGACCAAGAAAATATTTAAGAGGGCCTAGATACTTAGTTTTGAAGTGTCTGGAGAGAACAGATTTGTAATGATCAATCCGTAAAGGGTCAGTGCCTGCAATCAAAATATCATCAACATAGACTAGAATCATAATAATGCCAGTGGGAGTAACTAATGTCAAAAGAGAATGGTCCGCCGAAGATTGTGTGAATCTTGCATCAATTAACACAGTTGTTAGTTTGAAGAAACAATTCCGGGAGGCTTGTTTGAGTCCGTAGAGAGCTTTTCGGAGGCGACAGACTCAGGTCTCCCCCTTAGTACAATATCCAGGTGGAGGAGTCATGTAAACTTCCTCATCAAGGTCACCATGAAGAAAAGCATTGTGAACGTCCATTTGATGAATTATCCATTGTCGAGAGGCAGCAACGGAAAGGAGACACCGGACAGTGGTCAACTTGGCAACGGGGGCAAATGTCTCGTGGTAGTCGAGTCCTTCAATTTGGGTGTAGCCGTTGGCCACTAATCGGGCCTTGTAGCTCTCAATTGAACCATCCGCTTTGATTTTGGTCTTGAACACCCATTTACAACCAATGGATTTCTTGCCAGAAGGAAATGGCTCGAGTGTCCAAGTGCAATTTTCTTCGAGTGTTCGAAGTTCAGAATTCATAGCCTCATGCCAATGAGAGTGTTTCTTGGCATCAGTGTAGCAAGTAGGGTCTGCAATAGTATTAAGAGCAGCTAGAAAAGAACGGTGAGTAGATGAAAAGCAAGAGTATGAAAGAAAAGATGATAGAGGATGAGTAGTACCAGAGGACTGTGCAGCACATGAAGATGCAGTGGGCCCAGGTGGAAGAGTCGGGTAGATGTAATCGAGCAAGTAAGATGGAAGAGTGGTGGTACGAGTAGAATGATGAGGGGGGAAGGAAGCAAAGTAGGGCTATGATTCAAGGTGGAATGAGGTGGTGCAGGATCAGGGGTAGGGTTGGAGAGCTCAGGAACAGGGAGGAGGATGATAGGGTCATGATGATCGGGGGCCGAGAAGAGATGGTGATAAGGAAAATCATTCTCGTGAAAAGTGACGTAACCAGAATAAAAAATAGAATGTGTGTCAAGGTTATAAAGCTTGTAGGCTTTGTGAGTGCTAGGGTACCTGAGGAAAAGGCATTTAGAGGCTCGGGGAGAGAATTTGTCTCGATGGTTGGTGAGAGTTTGAGCATAATAGAGGCAGCCGAAGACACGAAGGTGATCATAGGATGGTTTTTTATTGAAGAGGAGTTCGAAAGGTGTTTTGTCGTCAATGTTGCAACTAGGTGTGCGATTGATGAGATAAGCAGTTGTAAGGATACATTCCCCCCAAAATTTGAGAGGGAGGTTGGCTTGGAAGCATAGGCTATGAGCAACATTCAGAAGGTGTCGGTGTTTACGTTCTACAACATCATTTTGTTGTGGAGTTTCAACACAAGTATGTTCATGAATAATGCCGTGGTCGTGAAAGTAGTTTTGTAGGGAATGGGAGAGAAATTCTTGGCCATTGTCCGTACGAATGTGTTTAATGGTAGTGTTAAACTGATTTTTTTTATGAGAGCTAAAAAACGAAGGATATTAGTACTTGTTTCTGATTTAAATCGCATTAGATATATCCAGGCGGTGTGTGAAAAATCATGAACAATTGTAAGAAAATAGTGTGCGCCACAGAGAGAAGTAGTCGGGTATCCACCCCAAATATCACAGTAAATTTGATGAAAAATAAATTCACTTTTATTGAGATTGTTTGAAAAAGGTATCCGACTATGCTTTGAACGACTACAAATATCACATTGAGAAATGATACATGGAGTGTCAATAATACTCGGTATTGTAAAGCGAGAAGAATGACCTAAGCGTTATGCCATAATGTTTTATTAGCAAAAGTGGTAACAATAAGGGCAAGGGGGTCAAGTGCCCGAAAAATATAGAGCCCATTGCACACCTCACCATCTCCAATCAGCCTCTTTGACTGTGGGTCCTAAAAAACACAAGAATCAGAAGAAAAAAAAACTAAACATGGTAAGTCTTGAGTAAATCTTGGGATAGAAAGCATGTTATATTTAAAATTAGTTACATAAAGGACATTATGTAAAAATAGGGTAGGGGACAATTGAATAGAGCCACTCCCTTCAACTCTTGATGATTCACCATTTGGCAAAGATATAGAGTTAGCCAAAGAGTGAGGCTCGAGAGTTATGAAGGAAGATCGACGGTGGCACATGTGATTGCTAGCACTGCTGTCAATGATCCAATCATGGGGGCTGGTGACAGTATGTGTGGTGGAGAAGGAGTTACCGACGAAATTGGCATGGGTTGGAGCTAGCTTGAGGAGTTCCAGCAATTCTGTTATAGCTCTGATGGAAGAGTCTGAATGGAGGACGAATCTGAGGCAGAAGCAACAGTGGTTTGTGTTACAGCAGCTACCGGTGGACGACCAAGAATGGATGATTGGCGATTCTTGGGTTCGCGCCTCGGAGGATATCCAATGATGACCCAGCATCGCTCACGACGGTGCCCGTTCCTTCCACATTCTGTGCATTTTAGGGGTGTGCGGTTCTGGACGGGAGTGCGGGCAGTCATGGCAACAATGTTGGGGGTCGGTGATACTGTGCGGACGTGGAGAAGTCGCTGCTGTTCTTCCTGAAAGAGAGTTGAAAATACTTCTTGCATCGAAGGCAATGGATCAAGGGCAAGGATTTGTGTACGTAATGACGAGTAGGAGTCATTCAATTCAAGAAGGAATTGAAAAACTAGTTCATCTTTAGCCTTTTTTTTTTTCATTTCAGCAAGGTCCATAACATTTTGTAAGTCACCCAACTCATCCCATATCTGCTTAATTTGGTTGTAGTAATCATGGATGGGTTGGGTATTTTGTGTGAGGTTGTATAAATCACGTTTTAGGTGATAGAGCTGGATGTTGTTGCCGTGGCTGAAACAAGATTGAAGATCTCTCCATTGGTCCCGGGGATTTGTGTGATATTCAAGAGAATTTACAATAGAGGGTTTGATGGTATTGAGCAACCAAGTGAGGATCATGTCCTTGGTTTGGCTCCATTGAGAATAGGTGGGAGAATCGGCTGTAGGGTTTTGGAGAGTGCCATCCACAAAACAAAGTTTGTTTTTGGTATTGAGGGCACGACTTATAGCTCGCTGCCATTTAGGATAATTGTCTCCGGTGAGTAATCCATAAACAAGAATGAGATTAGGAGAATCAGAGGGATGTAGGAGGTGAGGAGAGGAATTTGGGGCTAGAGGAGGTGTGTTGGTTTCAGCAGCCATGAGGACACAGGAAGAAGAGGACCGGTCAGGCTGATACCATGTTGAAGAAGAAAATGGATAATTCTGCTGTATGTTTCATTCATTCTTGAAGTCAATAAATAGGTACAATGAGGTTGCTATACAAAGATAATTGGCTAAGATTTATGCTAACATTGTTCAATTTTTCTATAAAGGTTTACAAGGAAAATTGATAAACATCCATGCTGATTTTGTGCAAGACTATGATCCATGCTGATTTTGTGTAATATGCTGATTTTGTGCACGTTGCAACCCCTGTTGATTTGCAATTGGATGAAAATGTCAATATGACTGAACATTCAGGTTCTAAATGACAAAAAAATCTTGATGATCTTTCTTTTCAGTACATTGTTGTTTGTGGTAATTGGAACCAACATAGTTAAGAGCTTGTTTGGAAGTGATTTTTCACTCAAAAAAATTGATTTTTTTAATCGTTATTTCATTATTCCAATTGTAAAGTTTGATTTTTTCTCTCATGGTGGTTCACACTTTTCTCCAAAAGGTCACAATATCACTCCCAAATGGGGCCTTGAACTGCATGAATTTAGAAAAATGTCAACAAATACAATGAATACTCCTCGTGATTATTATGTGGCTGCTTTTCTTCCTTACCTAAAGCTCTCAGAAGGGAAGTGCTATAGCTCTAAATTTTCAAGAAGAAAAAAAAAAGTAATGAAAATGAATTAAACTTATAACATGTGACACATAATAGAAAATAGTAAACATGGTAATAAATAAATTTTAACATGTTTTTATAATTCTATCATATGTGAATATCAATATTTTTTGGAATGCTAAGATCAAGAATAGATAATTATTGATACTATATATATTTTTTAAAAGTGCAAAATAATTGAAAATTCATATAAGTCATTATTATACAGGGTGCAGGCACCATCCATCAAGAATCCAATCCAAATATCAAAAGCCTTGTGCTGTAATCCACTCTTTTTCCTGAACATTTCTTCTTATCCAATAATACGGTCTGTCGGTGGAAGAAAGAATCGGCATCTCCAAGTCTTTTTAAGAGACAATTTAGGATTTGTTTGCCTTTCAACAACCTGATTATGAACAATATATATATATACTAGTTTTGAGAAATTATATCACTTTGCATTCAAATCATGTGTGGAGTTTTCAATCTGTCAACACTTGGTCAATCCGTAACTAATAAGCAATATGTGATCAATTAAAAAGACAAATTATAACCAAAAAATAATGTGTGGGCTAAAATTGTTTATTTGTAATTTATAATTTGATAATTTGTGACTATATAATAAGTTATGACTTATAATACTTGTATTTTATAAACGATAAATAAATTATGACTTATAAATTTTTATTCGTAATCGATGAATAAATTGTAATCTATAATTTTTTTTAATTGTAATCATAAAATAATTTATGACAAATTTTTTTTCTAATTTGTGATCAAAAAATAATATGTTACTAGCTAAATCATTAATTAAATTTTTGATTTGTGATCGATGAACAAATTATAACCAATAATTTTTTTTAATTGTGATCATAAAATAATTTGTGACATAAAATTTTAATTTATAATTGAAAAATAATGTGTAATTAATTAGATCGCTAATTTATGATTAAATTGTATAAATCTATAATCTTAATATATTTAATAAATTATATAATTAATTAAGTAATTTATAAATAAATTTTAATAAATATCTGATTTTTTTAATTTGAAACTTTTGTTCTTAATTTTAAAACGAGTTATACTTAACTTCTTAGCTATGAACATAGCCCCTAAAGTAACTTTAATTTTTTACTTAGAAAGAACGGAAAATAGATCCAAAGATGCCAACTCCCCTACCAAATCACACTTGAAACTCGACAGAAACATGGTTTGGACTATAATCGTGTCTCTAAAGTCAGATAGCTGGGATTAACGATGGGCCTTATTTGGACTAATGATTTGGGCTTTCTGTAAAATTTGTTATTCAAGAACTGAAATAATAATTGGGCTTTGCAATCCGTTATAAGTTTTTCTTTGTGGCCCATATTCAGAAGCCCATAAGGCATAAAGAAACACTATAAATAAGTGGAGATGCGGGGTATCGATCCCCGTACCTCTCGCATGCTAAGCGAGCGCTCTACCATCTGAGCTACATCCCCATTTGACTAATCGATCCTTACATATCCTTATAAAGGTAATAAAGCTTTCTCATGGAAAGTTAAGACGAAATAATCAGAATCAGTTTGGAAGTTAAGAAGCCAAAAAATGTAATTAAAATAAATAATTAATTTTAATTAAACGCACCCACTGCTTTTTAACAACACGAAAACTTTTATTAAAATTTAACGAAAGATAGATTTTTTATCTAAACAATACACAAGCTAAGTATTATTCAAAATGACTACAAGTCACTTCTCATTATGGGAAGAACAACACCACAGCAATCACAGCCTTTTTAATAAACATGAAAAAATAAAAAATCAGAAGTTGAAAATAGAAATTTCAAGAAAGTCATTCAGTTAACCTTCAAATGAGGCTCAACCTCAACCCTCGTCACTCCTTCCTCCGCCACCTTAGCCACCTCAACTTCGCCAACTACCAAATTTTGCTCATCCTCACCCTCACCCTCACCCTCGGCCCCTTCTTCTTCTTCCACATAGTTCGGATCCTTCTCATCTATAGCAGGCGGCGGCGTCTCCAGCTCCAACTCCTTCTCCGGACCTTCCCACGTGTACTTTCCTCCATGCCCTTTCTTAGGATCATGCTTCAGTGGCAGCCCATCAATTACACATTCATTAATAATATAATATTACACGCAAATTTAAATTTTTTTTATTTTTTATCTGTTGAAAAAAATTATTGATTTGTCGCGTGGGTCTACATATGTAATTAATTGTGCATAAAGACTA